GAACCCTCTCTCCTTCTCCCTCCTAAGTTATTGTTCCAGGAGGTCTGAGTGGGAGGGAACTGAACCAGCCTTTGCTTGATTCTCCTCGCAATATCGAGTTCAGGTTGTTAGTGCCTTGTTCCTATGGTTGAGACCACTAGATGCCCCTATCTCGGTAATTCCAGTTGCAGGATGAATTTTCCCTGCTTTTATGGTTCAGCTAGGGGGACTTTGTCTGCCTTGCAATGCTAGTTGGGGAGCATATGATAACATGTTCTTATGGTTGAGCAGGTGTTCTACATCCTTCTCGTAGTTCTGAGTGCACATTATTTTCTTTCCTGCTCTTACATTTGACTGGATTTTGTTCCTGCTCATAATATCGCTACAGGAAAAAACCCTATTCTTACAGTTGAGTTGAGATTCAAATACTGACCCATAATTCTGGGTTCAAGTTGGTATACTTCTTGCTTCCTACAGTTGATGTAGAAGTCTGGTGATCACTGTTTGCTTACTTCCTTGTTATAACTCCAGTTGCTTGCACTCTGTTTACTTGTGATTGGAGTTAGTGTATATCTATTGTTCACAGTTCGCTGCCCACATTACACTGTATATACTCAAGTGATTCTTCAACACTCTTCCACTTTGTAATACTGAGGAACCTCTTCTCTCCAGTTGGGGTTAAGGAGAATCATGCTCCAGTGTTTTCCAAGGCCTCACTTCAAAGGTGTACCTGTTCCAGAAGTGGTGCAGTCTCCTCGAGTGTGCTTTCATTAAATTATTGTGCACACTTGTTTGATTCCCTGTGAATGTTTTCCATGGGGAGTATCTAACTTCTTTGTTACACCGGTCTCTCCACCTACTCACTGTGGGATTTTAGATTTTGTGTGAGAAAATATATGTATTGTATCAGAAGTTATCATTTCCCTACACTGGAAATAGATTTCTGATATATATACGTACCTCCCATCACTCTTTCCACCCTTCCTCCCCACTTCTGGTGTGCCTAATCTCAAAAGTGAGGGACATAAAATGTAATACAGAGGGAACTAGCTGCTCGAGGGGTGTGCTTCATGCTTTTATTGGTAGAGGGTAATTGCATATGCTGTGCATGCTAAATGAGCAGCTTGAAAAGAGGGGGTATAAAGGCTAGTGAGGTAAGTATATATATCGGAAATCTATTTTCAGTGTATGGAAATGATAACATCTAAAATTCATACTGCCAATTTAACTTGTAAACCAGTTGTGTTTTGGCTCTCTGCAAAATTAGGAACTGTTCCAAACAGTCAAGGCATAATTTTCTATATTGTATCTCTGACAAGAAATTCAATAATTACTGTTAATAGAGTCAGTGTCACTTTTTATTACACTTACATGTAGCCCTCCAGTGACTCAGTGGTAAGTATGAGGGCTTATAATGCTAAAAATCAAGTTTTGGTACCTGTGGTGTGCATAGTACAGATAGCCCATTGTATAGATTCATGCTTAACAAACACTTTCATGTAAAAGTAAAGTCAAGTAACTAGTCTTGATCTGATAAGCCTTCTTGAGTGGGAAACTAACACTATGTTCTTATTTCATATAATACTGAATCTTTGATAATGTTTTTGTTATATTATGTGCATTTTGAAAGCTTCAGGAATGCTCTTCTATGACAAGATATCAGACAAGGATATTTAAGTTTAGGGAGTATTATAAAAATAAGGCTTGATAACAAACTAGATGTGGGGGATAAGTTGACTCATTGGATAGAGAAGTGGCTAAGTGGAAGAAAGAGGTTGTTGTTATAAATGGAGTTCAGTCAAATTGAATTAATGTCAAGAGTAGGGTACCTCAGGACTCAGTGTTAGGACCTTTACTCTTTTTTATTTACATCAGTGACATAGATGAAATGTGGTATTTTCAGTTTAAAGAAAAATAAATCCTACAAAGTATCAGACAAGCAAATCCACAAAAACAGCAGATTTGATCAAGAAGTAATAAGACTGTTCTGTAAGTGATAATTTGAGAAATAAACTGATATGACACATTTAAATGACAGTGGAAACTATCTTTATTTAGACACGACAGAAACAGTGTATGTACCTGCATAGACAAGTTGGCGATTGCCTCTACTGGATCAGTAAATAGCTTGTCAGGTTTCCATCTGAAGTTTAATCTCAATCTCTGCCAAACTAGTCATGATAAAAGTCAAATAGAACTGACATGTATCCTTGTGGGCAGAAAATGTTGTCTAACAAAAGAACAAAGGGCTGAAGTAGCTAAAACAAGATAATGATAGCTACCCTGAACTTTGTGTTGCCACCATGACAGTATGGAAACTAGATAACCCATAAGTTGAAACAATTCTATAGTACTATAGCAAGTAGGGAACCCATGATATGCCTGCATATCACAAAAGGAGTGGTCAATAGATTATTTAAATTTGCTAATAACATTTAGGTTATGGGTGTTGTTGGCTGTGAGAAGGATGCTACTGCTTTATAAAAGGATTTGGATTATTTGGTGATTTTTCATAATAATAAATGTAAGTTAATTCATGTGGGATATCACATCTTGAATTATGAGGATAATTTTGATGGAAATAACCTTAACATTGTTATGGGAAAAAATATCTTGTGCCATCCAAGCAATGTATTGTTGTTAGTGGCAGGGCAAATAGTATTTTAGGTTGTATCTATAGCAATATTGAATGCAAGTCTAAGAAAATTATAGGTCATTGTTTATGTCAGGTTTAGAACAGTATTCAACCTTGGGCTTCTTACTTTAGAAAGGACATTGAATTATTAGAAAAGGTTCAGAGGAGGGCTACTAGGGTGATGCCTGGGATGAATCTCCAAACTTGTTTTCTCTTTAATAAAAAAAGAGTTAGAGGGGGGTCTGATTGAGATGTTTATGATTGCTAAGGGAATTGATAGTGTTGGTGCTTCATCTTTTTACACACTTAATGGTGAGAATGGTTTGGCCTCAGATGCAGTTAATTTAAGAGTTTAAAGGAAAGCTTGTCAAATATTTAAATGATAAGGACTGGCCTTGAGTTTTTTTAGGGTTTAATTTAGTGGATAGGGCAACCTAGATTGACCAAAAAGTTCATTTTTGTCCTTTAATGTTATGTGTGCTATAAAGAGATCTAGATTGATAGTGAAACATGCCATGACCCCAGAGAAGATACTTATTTTATGATGTGGTGAGCAATAGGTCAAATACAAGTTGTTGCTGATTGTCTACGAGTCTCGTATAGTGTAGTTAGCATATGTAGATTTGTTTTCAGATCACCAATACAGTTAAAAGACACCTAGAGAAAGATCATTGTTGACAATAATATCGCTATTTGACTGTGATATGTTACATGCAACCACTGAATCTCATTGAAACAAGCTTCATAAGGTTAGCCTTAATGACAACCATTTCTCTAGCCCATTGCCACTAAACAGCTTATCTTAGTAGAGTTAAGAACATGTGGATTGGTCAAGTGACATGTAAGGGACATGCGTCATTGAAAGTTAAATTGTGTTTCCCACTATAGTCAGGTATCAGATATTAATGCAGTTGGAAAGTGTACAGGAATAGATATAACCCCAATTTCTTGGAGGAAAGACATGCATATAGTGATAGTGAAATATCGGTCTGGCTAGGGATCAATATTGGTGACCTTGATGACTTATGTGCTATGTCATGACTCCAGAAATCCATTCTTACAACCATTTGTGTAGCCATTTGTACAGGGGGGTCAGAACTTTCTTCTGATGGATGATAACATATGCCTCCACCATGCTCAGCTTCTTGGGAGATGAGGATAATTAGTGACTGAACTGACCATAAAGCTAAATGAATTTAAATTAAAATGAATATTGGTGCTCTGAGAACATGGTTGGCAGCATATACTTCACTTCCAAACCATATTGATGAAACGGATATGATATGTGAATGTGAAATACTGTCCCAGCAGCTGAATGCTTCATTATAGTTTAAATTTTCCACATCATTATATGACTTGCATCAGTGTCTGATGCTTTGTTAAAAAAGTGTTTTTAAATCATTTATTTGGCTGCAAAATATGTAGTGTTAAATAAGCATTTGCTGACATAGACATTAGCTTGGGAAAGGGGTGTCACTAGCATTAGTTGATAACAGTAATTGTGCCTTGTCATAGCCAGAACTTAGGAAACTCCATTTATACTTTAGCTTTTTCAGTAATGGCACTTGGCCCACTTAAAAACAAAAAAAACAAAATCAGTCCTACTGTTCAAATAGCTTTGTTTCAGGTATTTAAGGATTCAACTTCTGTAAGTTAAATCATTCAAAGAACTTTTTTTAAACAATAGTTTTGCACATACTTGAATAACTTACTTTTGTGAAAATCAGTTTCAAGTGATTTCATTAACAAAACCTGCAGAAATATATTTTTTTAGTAATAGTAAGTATGGATAGAATATTATGTATTTGAATGTGAAATTTAAATTTGATTTCTTTTTTTTTAAGGTCAGTTAAATTGCTGCTTTTGTCATAATGATTTAAGATGCTGCAGATTTGTGAATTTATGTTTAGAATTGTTCTTTTATTGATAATGTGGATTGTCTTATGAAAAATTAACTTTAATAAAATGTGAGGAAATATTTTTGTTGATAATCATTTAAAGAAATTACAATTGAGCAGTGTTTAAGGTATTAAAACTATAGCAACATTTAGTTTATATCTTGTTAGTCAAATAAAAATGCAATAACTGTATTTTTAAAGAAAACCTGTGAAAACATCTGTGGTATCGCTGAAGATGCAGAATATTTTGATGCAACTACGGAAAATTTGTAATCACCCATACCTCTTGGAATATCCTCTAGACCCACTCACCCAGAACTTTAAAATAGATGATGAGCTAGTAAATGTGTGTGGTAAAATGTCTCTCATGGATAGTCTTCTCAAGGAATTAAAGAAACGGGGTCACAAGGTAATTTACCAAGTATTTAATTCAAATGTGTCAGGAAAAATCAGTCACTATAGTGCATGCAATCTTTTTATTTGTTGCTGAAAATTTAAAAATGTGTTTATTTATATCTTCCTTTTAAACAATATGGATTAATGCTGATAATTATTCTTGGAAGCTTCTCCATGATTTTTTTTCTAACCATACTATACTGTAGTAATCAAATAGTGTAACATATTTAGTTTCAAATGCTAGGGTTAAAAGTGTTGTCAATAGGTTACTTGAATTTACTGTTAATTATTTATTCCTAGACTACAACAGTTAAGTGTAGATGTGAAATGATCTCAGTGTGGTACAGAGCTCAGTATTAGGACCTTTTTCTTTTTTCTTTATTTATATCAAGGACACAGATGTAGGAATGGTCAATAAGTTACTTAAATTTGCTGATGATATTAATGTCTTGGGTATTTCTGGCTATTAGGAGGATGCTGCTGCTTTACAAAAGGATTTAGATTACTTGGTGGGTTGGGAAAATGAATGACAACTATCTTTTAATTATAATAAATGGTAGGTGATACATGAGATACCATAATTTAAATTGTGTATAATTTCAATGGGAAGAACCTTGACAGTATTTTATAAGAAAGCCATGTTGGTTTTCTGGTTGATCAGTTTCTTGAGCCATCCAAGCAATGAGCTGCTGTTAGTGGCAAGGCAAATAGTATTTTAGGTTGTATCTATAGAAATATTGAATACAAGTCTATGAAGATTTTCTTCTTTGTTGTTGTTGTCCTTAAGTTTTATGATCTTTGTGTTTACCTTAAAATGAAGTGTGCGGAAATAACACCAACAACCATAAATTGGTAAAATACAAGTTGACCATACAGGTAATTCATCATTTTATTGCTTATAATTCTTAAACCATAACATATATTTTAGTGGAAATAAGTTAGCATACACGTGGGATATTGGGAACACTAATGAGTTTGCAGGTTTTGCCACTTGTGGGCACCAGTTACACAGTGTGACATCACACAGAAATGGGCATATCATTCTGAAACTTACTTGTACCTGTAACAGGAAACTATTGATTTACCAACCAAAATTTTGAAACAAATAGTGTTTAACATTTTGCTGAACTGGTTTAACGCATTACGGTAAATGTTCACAGTGTGTGCCACCAATCTCAATAACAGCTTTGAGATGTGATAACACATGGCACATAGTAGTGTGCCTCTGACTGTTGTGGATAGTAAGAATGTGGCACTGAATATTGTTCTTAAGGTCAGTCATGGTAAACCAATGCTTGCAAATATTCCCAAAACCAGAAATTCTCAGGTGTGAGATCTGGTGGCTAGATTCATTCACCAAGAGCAATGCATAGCAATTTCTTCAATGTTGGTAACAAGTGTTGGTGCACTATCTTGCAGGAACACACTGACTTCCTAAATATCTCTTTCTTTCAAGGTACTGATACCATATTATTTAAAGTGTTGATTGCACCAGTGACTTTAAAACAAAACAAGACATTTTATACTCGTGTAATTTTAAAGGGACTTGTTATCTCCCCCCCCCCAATTTTAGTGTGTTAACTTTGGCCAACATTGGGTTTCAGAAAAGTACTTTGTATTGAGTTTTGAAGCCCCAGAGTACTGACAGACCTTGGAAAGGATCAGAAAGTTTTTGACCATTCTAACATATCTAGCTTCTTTTTTTTTGTTGTTGGAGGGTGGGGATTAACAAGTACCTTTAAAAGTGGATTTGATGAATAATGGTCAAAAGCATGAATTTATCATGACACCAACTGGAATGATCCTCATCTTCGACTTTAAGCCAGCATTAACCTTGTATTTGAAAACTTAGTAATGAACCTGTTAATAACATCATCAAGATCAATGGAAATAGCATGTGTGTTCTCTGTGCATGCTAATTACTGTTAAACTTTTCAGTTTCTTATCTGCCATATTGGTTCTAAGGTGATTTTTCATCAGCTTTAGCTTGCTATGTTCTGGACAGCTGTAAGTCTCGATGTATCTAAGTATTTTGATGTATTCCCTATTTTTTTCCACAATCAGCCAGTGAGCAAACTGAAAGGTCTCAGGTGATATCAAATAGCATAAGCGTTAAGTTCTGCCAAGATATGCAAGAAGCAACTTTATAGTCACCATGCATAATAATGTTTTACCTATTTATTTTGTTTTAACTGAAATTAAAAGTGTTTTTTGAATGGAGTGATCCAAAATATGTTTTATTTCTCATTTTTAATGTCCATAGATTTTTTCTTCTTGGAATGCCAGCGTGTATAGTTTGGTTAAAGAAAATTAATGATAAAATGATACCTTCTTCTTCTAGGTATTGCTTTTTTCCCAGATGACTACAATGCTTGACATTCTACAAGATTACTGTTATTTAAGAAACTTGAAATTTGCAAGACTGGATGGAAGTATGTCTGTCACTGATAGACAAGAACAAATACAAAATTTCAATGAAGACCCAGACATCTTTGTTTTCTTGCTCAGTACCCGTGCAGGAGGACTTGGGATCAATCTGACTGCTGCTGACACTGTGATAATTTATGATTCTGACTGGGTATGTTTGTTTGGTTTTTGAAGTTTTTGATAATCTATTGTAATGACTCTTTTAACCTTATGCAGACAGATGAGTTCTTCTGCACATGTCAAAACATTTTATGGAGTTACTTTAAAAATTTGGTATAACATCTTTATTAATGTATGTCAATACAATTAGCATCAGAATATAAGTTTTAATTATTTTTTTTTCCAAAGAAGATATATTCTCATTCTTCACTTTTGTTGTCACTTGACATACTAATACTGTCAGTGATATTTTAGTTTGTATAACTCCAAAGTTTCAGCATGTATAATATCTTATTTTAGACACAATCTTTTTGCAATTTTGAAGTCCAGATTAGTAATTTATTTACTAGATATTTACTCAGATATAAATACATTTTCTGAACCCACAACAGAAGCCCTGTTCATCTGTCCTTAAATTTCAAGTCTGTTTTCAAAACTACATCAGTTTATTTGATGTATTTGTTTATAGCCAATAGAAAGAGCTGTAATTAAGTCACAACTTCCAATGGTCTTTTTAAAATCGTCTGCAATATACGATAAAAAGATGTCTTGATTCTGTAACATGAGAGTAAGCGAACTTGGTGCTCATAGCATTTAACAATTTTTATATCCTAGTTAGAAGAAAGTTTAAATTATAGATGCTTTTGGACATTCTGTTTTTGTGATTTATGTATTATTTATTTCAGTTTCACTGTACATTGATTATTCAGCTACAGTTAGTGTTAGGCAAAGAAAATAACAGATATAATATATACTTTTACCTTAAAACTTTTTTGATATTCATTAAGAAGGCTCTAGAGGTTATGCAAATTAAATATGATAACTGTAGAACAATAAGTATTTTTATTCTTAGCAATGAAAATCACTTTGCATTCAGATCAGTGTGAGTCAGACTGACTCTGTAAATGTACAGAAAATGATAAAACACAAATGTAATAAATGCTTCCTGTTATTACATTTGTGTTTTGTTTTATCATTAAGCTATGTTTTCCAAAAAATGAATCGATTACTAAATATGTTTTTTTGTGTACAACAGACTTTTAATGTATACTAAAAGTAAAATCCTTGCCAAGTTTTGTGAATATACACCTAGTACATTCATAATTATAGTAAGCACTGTTATGTATAGTTTCATAGGAACCGGAGTTGGTCTTAAACAAATTCACTGCCTCGATAGAGTTAAAGGTGTAGTAACAAGTGAACAGTGAGTTTATACTTTGTTAGTCAGTACAACCATGTTGTCTATTAAGTCCCTAAGATGCTACTAATTTATTCTTGTGAATTATTCAGCTAGAGAAGCTCATTAAAGTACTAAAAAATACCATAGATATAATATCCACTCCACCACTATGTGAACTCTGGACATATACTTTCGATTTGTCCTTGTCTGGGGTTACTGATGATGGGTGGAATTCCCCAAAACTGGTATAATTCAGTGACAAATGATAATTTAAATGATAGATTGGGCTTCTAATTTATATTTTAGAATATTGATCTGATAGATCAATTTTCTGTTGAAACAGGTAATATGTTCTCTAAATAAAATAATTTTCATTATACTTATGAATCATTTAGATATAGTAACATTCATGTTTGTAGCACTTACTGTAGACTCTACAAATACAATTGTACATCATAATGGCATGGGAATGATACAAATATAAACAGTGTGGATGTTTTACCAGAAGGTCTGAGTTCATGTATGAAGTGTCCTATATGTATAATATGAATTTACAACTTGGTTATTTGTCATAGGGGATGGTTTTAGTTTAATGTATTAAATGCTGTTATATAAAAAAATGAAGTGTGCTGTTACTTTCTTATACTTATAGCTTTATAAATATAACGTGTGTGTGTGCAATACAATGTTTATTTCTAAAATCTATAAATATATAAAAATAGTGAAGTAGCATAAAAAATAATAGCATCTGGGTTAATGATAATGGCATGCTTTTGATTAGACAGTGAGTATTAATCACATTATTATAGAAACGGTATGCTAGTGCTACAATCATACCTTACTGTAATTGTTTGTCCCCTGTCCTCCACACAAGATCCAGCAGGATGTTTCATTTGGATGTGATTTAACATTGTTTCTATTCTTCCCCTATAATTAGTCTCTGCAGAGTACAGCTTAGATTTTAATTTTTGGTCTCTTGTTGTATAAAAATATGCCAAAACATAACTTAGTTTACTTCAAACTCCCAGAAAGAAAATGGCTATAGCCTGGTTGGTTTCACATCAATTTGATATGTATCTCTATGCAACACATGATGATACTTACTGGTTATGTGTCAAAAAGTAGTTCCAATTATGTAAAAGATTAAATCCTTGTTAATTCTGTACTTATCATAATTCATCTTTACCATTTTCTACATGGGTTAATAATTTTAATACCAGATGTCTGGTATTATTAGGATTGTTGCTTAGATTTATGCTTAAAAAAAAAAATTCCACAGAAGAACAAATATGTATTGTTTAGTACATTGTTGTTTGATAAAGGCTGAAAGCTGGCAGCTAAAGGAAAGGTATTTAATGTAGAGAACAGTCCTTGTATATGTTTTTTACATTGTCAAGTTTGTGATAGTATGTACACTATTTAATTAATTATTGAAAGTAAAGAAAAACCTTATAGTATAAATTATATTTACATGAATTATTTTCTTTTGGTATGTTTAAAAGTTACCAGAAAAAATGCCTTTTGCATTAAGGCTTCCTACTTTTTTCTGTGACTAGCCATATCTCCAAGATATTCTATTTATACTTCATACTCCCAGGAATGATATTTTGACATTTCACTCTATTTGTTCCAGTGATTTTTACCATAGGTTATTGATCATTGCAAAAATGTAAGCCTGTGGTATAATTTTATAGTGAAATATTAACTTTTCTAAAATGAATGTTAAAATTTACAAAAGAATAGTTAAATTTACACAGGTACTATGTACAAAATAACTTTTTATATAAATAATACATTATAGATAATACAGAATTTTTCTTGTTATACTGTTTGACAGAATCCTCAATGTGATCTTCAGGCCCAAGACAGATGCCACAGGATTGGCCAAACTAAGCCTGTTGTAGTTTATCGATTAGTCACTGCAAATACTATTGATCAGAAAATAGTTGAAAGAGCTGCTGCCAAAAGGAAATTGGAGAAAATGATCATTCACAAAGGTATTTCATAATTGTTTGTTTGAAATGTTGAATTTTTACAGAAAAAGAATATTTGAGGTGGTGAAAGCATATTTAAAATGCAAAAAGATTAGCTTAAACTAGTTTGCTTTTACTTTGTACAAAATAAATAAATGCTGAATTGTAGCGTCAGTTATTTAATGTGTTCTTCAAAGATGTACTTATTGTAACTTTTTTCCATTATATAAACTTATAACAAGGTAATAATGATATTGTTTGTATGAAACTTACAATTTAGTGCACATTGCACAATTGAACAGTTGCATATGCAGGAAAGAAAAAATATACGATAAGTTTTTAGTATTACAAAAAAAAGGTTAAATAAACTTGTACTTAAACACGTGTTTCATAAGCGCATTGTGAAGTTTTGTTTGAACTTTTCATCAGGCAGTGTTAACTTACCAAATGCTACGTTCTTTACAATAGATGGTATTAAACCTGCAACCTTCTAGGTTTTTTAAAGAGGGATTCACAAATTATGTTTTGATACCATATGTTTAGATGAAAGGAAAAAATATAAAAGAAATTTTTGCTTTTTTAAGCTGTTAAAAATAATCATACTTTTCTCACTCTTGCCACGTAAATCCTTTAGCCACTGTGGCTGATGCAATGAAATCTGCATTAGCCACACTGCTTAAAGTATTAAACTTATGTTAGTGGGTATAATGAAGCTGTGAAAGTAAGAATGATAACTTTGGGGCATCAAAGCAACCACACCATCAACATTTATACTACATCATATATATTTATAAAATATAAGAAGTTTTATCTTCAGGAACTTTTTATATTGTAAATTAATACAAGAACAAGACCATACATAAACTAAATGACTACTAGTATGTAGCATTGCACTGGCAATAATCATCAATACTGTTTTATATAAAAATTTATATGATTAAGATAGTAAGTAATACTTTGCTGCAATACTGTAAAATTGTACTAAACATGCACTGGTCTGTAAGAAACGAAAGCTCTGACAAAGTCTCGATGTAATCACAGACCATTGAGACTTAACAGTTCTTGAGTGGTCATGAGCAAACTTCTTTTTCTGCGTGTCTGGATTGTTATCATTATTGTTCTTTTCTGGGACTGGCAGGAAAAAAGACAATATTGGTTTGACTTCTTTTGACTTTAGCATTCTTGGAGCCCCAGAACATGGATTTGACATAAGTAAGGCTGTCTCTGGATAAAATTACCCCTTCTGTATCTCAAGAAAAAGTTCCCACATAAATATGTAGATAACTTTAGGCATGTGCGGTATGCCTATTCAATGCAGTATAAACATGCAGTAAAGGCAAATGTGAAATTAAACCACAAATATCAATATTTGTTGACAATTCATTGGGTGGTCTTAATATTATATATTTACTTGTGTGGGTGAATTTCTATTCTCAGTGAAGAAGACAAACAACTTAGGATAAAAGTTAATCTATTCAACAAAGCGTTTTGATTTACGTCTTTTTCAAGAGTCAATGAATTAGAGTAACTGAAAAAAAATTAGAACTACAACAATATAAGGGAACAGTACAAGTGAAGCATGCTAAAAGTGTTGTTAAATAGGTTAGAATTGCTGATCATAATGGTAAAAGTTAAAAAATAAATAAAAGAAAGAAGAAGAAAAGGATTATAGGCATTGTACCTGTTAATGGAAGGTGTCTGGACTGAATTAAAAGATATTTTTCAAATTTTCTGTAAAGGACATTGTCACAAGTCTAAAATTTTCATTCAATAAAGTGTCTCATTGATTGTACCGTGTGCTTTGATGTGATGCTCAGTGGTGGCTTTTTTGTTGTTGTTAGGGTTTTATGTAATAAGTGGGGTAAGGATTCTTCAACAGTAGGTGTCTTTGACTTGTTGGTGGAAAATTTGACAATAAATGGACAGCACACACTTCACTTGTTTTAAAATAATATATTCAAAACTAGTTAAATGTATGTACAAAAATTCTTTAACTATGGATATCGCAGTTGTATCTTAAACTCTAAATAATTCTCGTTTTTCTTGTCAAAAGTCCACTTAGGCTGATTCAATTACTTTAGAATCCAATTGACAAGACAAGCTATTTTTCTCTACTGTTATCACTATAGTATCGGTGAAGTCCACACAGACAAGACAAATTATTCTCCTTATCTCTATTAACAGTGAAACTCCCTTTAAAATATTGGCCGTTTGGTTGTTCATTCACATGCTGGCTAACTGAACTTTGCTTCTTTAGTTCTCTCTTTTTATTATTAACATTTTTATGCTTGCTACTTATGTAAATACCTTATTCACTGATTCTTTGAAAAATAATGAAGATTCAAGTATTAGTTGAATCTTGACAACAATGAATTGCAAACACAATGTACGACTCTTATCGAGTTATGTAACAAAGCTTGTCATAACTATTGCCTTTAAAATAATTACTTTTAGCTCTCTTATTATGAAAAACTAAACTATCATTTAATATTAACTCACAAAATAAATTCATTAATAATACCTGCACTAAACAGTCTTGTATATCCAACAGTTGTCCAGATTAATTTAAAAAGTAATAATGAATTTCTACTCACTTTTGTGGAGAAATAAAGGTGATTTAGATTCACCACATTGAGTTTAGCCTTGTATTTGCAAGTGTGGCCACTGGCTAGCACAAGCAGTGATATCAAGAACATTATAACTCATGGAATGAAAAACTTGGATTAAAACAAAATTATGATATGTTAAAAATTACAAAAATGGATCAAGTGTTCCAGTTTTAGTGTATATTGTATGTAGAAAATAATTGTATTTTTAGTTATTAAAATTAATAAAAGTATATGGTTTTAACATTAATTCAAAGGAAAATATTGAGAAAGCAAAAGTGACAAGATTCCAAACAGTGTGTTTAAACTGAGAAGATCAAGAAATTGTGTTAAAGTACAGGATCCTTTCATGAATAGTGGGAAATTGTCTTTTCCCAACACATTTGTAACCCACTAATTTAACATTTGCTAAGGACTATCATCTCTTGAGAATACAATTAACCAAGACATCTTTCTATTATGATTTTCTTTCTCTGTCGGTTTATTATTGTACATCACATGCTGGGGTGAGAACGGATTTGAGGCACTGGAATATTTTGCTGTCACTACCATAAATGTAATAAGGCTTACCTCATGTATTGCCATAGAAGAAAATTGCCCTAACTTTCAAACAAATGTAATTTAACAAATTTACATTTTAAGGAACAAAATTAATATCTAATGAAACCATAAAAGTCCTCACATCTGTAGTTTGTTCCTAAGTCATCTACCACACTGTTCTTCTTTGCAGAAGCTTCATCTAATCACTTTCTCACAAAACCTCAAAGTACTTCTCACAAAACTTTATAATGGTACAAATAGTTTATAATTCTTTCTTTTCAATGATATTTAAGCTTTACCTTTAGTTATTTTCAAAACTATTCTTTATTAGTAGTTAATTCCACAAAACACAAAAGTATAAGTAAAAGTTGGCAGGTATGTTATTATTATCATTTTTTTAATATAAGCTAAGCTATCAACCAATTTAAGCTTGTAAACTTGTTGGTTCTTAAATGACACTATAACAATCCTGAAACTACTTGTCTGTCTTAGATATACAATGGATGACCGTTATGTATCTCAATAAACTCTTTATGGACCATGGGGCATTACTGATATCCTTTAATTTTTCTTTTCAAAACAGAAATACTTAACCGAGTTGCATGAAACTAAGCACAAATTTACTGCATAAAATCTAGCTTTGGCTTTAGAAAAATCATATAACTTATTTAATTTTCATATAACATCGTAAAATTTCCAACAATTTGTTGATACTTTTTTGGAAGAAAATAAAAATACTTCAGTTTGTTTAAGATTTTTTTTTAAATGTTGATCAGAAAGTTCCATTATATATCCAATCAACTTCAGCTTGACTGAGTTTTTTATTAATATTTTAAACTATTTTGTTAACTGCAGTAGAACACCACTTCCAGCTAAAAAACATCCCACAAATTGACAAATAAATAAACTGGGGACCTAAGACCTCACTTTTCAAAATGGTTCCAGGTCAGGCCAGGTAACAATATTTTGCTAACAATATTTTGATAAAAATATCTAATAAATAGGTTTATACTTTATAAATGAAGTAGTACCATTAAGTTTTACATGCATTGTGATTATAGTTTATGTTTATACTTTATAAATGAAGTAGTACCATTAAGTTTTACATGCATTATGATTATAGTTTACGTTTATACTTTTTGAATGAAGTAGTACCATTAAGTTTTACTTGCATTATGATTATAGTTTATAAGTTAAGAATTTGAATTTGTTTAGAAATCTTACTACATACTTGTCACTATGGAAAAGGTTTTTGATATTTGTATAAAAGAGTGATTTATCTTGAGCTCTGGATTTTCTGGTTTTTAGGCAAGTTCACCACAGGTTGTAATGCCTTCATGAAATCCAACCAGCCAATCAGAGCCAAAGAATTACTTGAGTTACTTCAATCAAAAGACCATGAAGGTGTGGTCAAGTTTTCAGATGGTATGAAGTTTTCAAGTGAAGAATTGGATCTTCTGCTTAATCGATCTGATATGATCAACAGATCACAAGAAAAAAACTGCTTGAATGAAGTGAAAAGTCTTTTCAAAGTAATTGATATTCAAGGAACAGTTAACACAAACATTAATTAAGATAAATCCTAGTAGAAACACTTTGAGTTGAAGTCTGAAATTTTATGCATGTCAGATATTTTTACTATTATTGATTTACATAAAAGTTGAATTCACCCTTTGTTTTCTGAAGTTATAAATTATTGACGCTGCCAGCTTTCTAATTTTCTCGCATTTTAAGCTGAAGATGTAAGTTTTAATAGTTGTATTCCAGAATGTATTTTCCTAAAGAAAAAATAAAAGTTTGTTCATTTTATATTTTAATGTTGGAATTAGTTGTTTTAAATTACTAATGAGAACATTTGATAAAAAGCAATAAACAGAACAAAAAATAACTTAAAAATAAACAAAGCCAAGCCATTTGTAAATAAACTGACCATAATGTCATAAATAAGTACATTCTGACAGGCATGTATTTCATATATAATAAAAAAATTTTCAGGCTATACAATTTCAAAGTGACTTGAGTTTTCTAATTCATGTAATCTGTTTTTTTTTCTTTTCTCTCTATTATACTGAAAAACTTTGATCACTGTTACTGCATCCCACCTGGCTTCATACTTTGATAAGGTATGCTTTCTTGCAGAAAATAGTATCACATATTGCTTCAGTCACTAGAGCAGTCTGAGATTGTATTTGTAGGACATGAAACACCACTCATGTATTAGAACATCATCATCTACATACAGGTACAGTTCAGTGTTTATGTGCATATTTTGGTCAACATTTTACAGATTCACTACAAAACTGTAGATAACCTGGTTCCCAGACCATACTGTAGGGCATCTATGTGCCAGAGTAGTGGTTTGCATGGAAGTGACTGGAACCCATATGATTTCACAGGCTTATACCAAGACCTACTCTCTCCAACAAACTAACTATCACATCTGAAGGAAATGATAACAGTTATTCTTTGCAAGATTAGTGAACAGATCTAATCGATGGCTTCCTAATTTTTATTAGTACATCTGACAGCATTTACAACTTGTCATTTCCTCTAAGCTTGTTGTCAGTTATTTGGCTTATTTAGTGGACATGTTGGCAAAAGAAAGAGACAACTCTTCACTGTTGGAGAAATAATTTCTTCTTTCTTACTCTCTTCACAAATTTGAACATTTTCCCATCCATATCACTGACATAGCTGGAGCACCAGATTTGGGTATCATTGCTACTCAACTGGCAGCTAGTCAGGCTGAACCAAGTCACTGTATGGGGTCTGCAGCAGAGCTGGGTATTTAATGATGTAATTACTAATTTATTAAACAATGGCTCATTTAACATATTTAAAATAGAACCAGCCAGTTGCCTTTCTTATAGTCAGCAGTTAGACATTAGTGAGAAAGACAGGGAGAGCAAGTATGACAATATTTGGAATAATTGAAAATGGTAACAATTGGAAACCTTATTATTGTGATCTTGATATAGACTCTTATTTTTAGGTATTTCAAAAGACTTCTTCAAAAAACTGCCAGAATTTAGTTCAAAGGATTTCCTCTTTATTTTTAATAATGAAATTTATGATGAAATAGATGGTGTGGCCATGGGCTCCTGTCTTGATCCAACACTAGCATACTTATTTCTTTCTCACTATGAAAGACAGTGGTTGGACAATTGTATAAATGAAATAAAACCATTATACTACACAAGATACATTGATGAGACTTGGGCTATTTCACAACAAGGACCAGACTAATTCATTTTTAACATATCCAAACAAACAATACCCTAGCATTAAGATCTCTCTTGAATTTGATAATAATTTCAAGCTCTCATTTCTTGACATTAAAGTTCAGTAAAATGCTTCATGTTTTGCTGTTAATTACTTTCATAAAAGAATGTATACAGGTCTTTATTATAACAATCAGTTTTATTCTAGAATTATTTGAACATAACCTTATCTAAATTTTAAGTACTTGAGCATATGAAGTTTATAATAAATTAACTTAGACATGCATTATCAAACATTATTCAGGTTCTTGAAAAGAATTGTTTTTCTATTAAGGTAATTGATGAAAATCTCAAACAGCTACTAAATAATGTTCATAACCCTTCTCCTATTCAGACAGTTGACAAACATTCAATAACTATCACACTCCTTTATCTAGGTGGTATATCATTGTTATTAAGGTCTAATATTTGAAGTTACTTAAGAAGGCCTATCCTGAAATAGACTTGACTATAGGAACTCTCTGTTTATAAATATGAATGTACTCACTGCTTGAAAGGCTTCTTTGGGCCCATTACCAGATGTTCCCAGCAAAAGATTGTGGAACATTATACTTCTTCTGTCTATAACAGCTTTGGTTTTTACAGCATGCAATGGAATGGGAACATGATGTCACATTTGAGCACTTTCACATTTTATTCAAAGCAGCAGATTACAGAACATAATGATTGTATGCAGATAATATGAATATAATGTAAAACAGTTTGATTAATTAATTCAAGTGCAACTATATTTAAGCAAAGAGTAAAATTAATAAACAAGCAAATATATCATTATTTATACAAGTCTGTTTTTTTTTCCTAAATTGACCAGCATCAACTTTATTGTTGTTGTTTTTTTTACGTTTGTACGAATTGAAGACAGGTATAATAACAATGGTATATTGCACTGTTAATCATAAAAATGTCCTTTTTCAGAATCCTACAATACCAGATTTCTTATGTTAATGATTATTCACATTATGTATTTTCATGGGAGACAACTCTAATTTACACTCTCTTGAACAAGTCTGTGCACATGCTACCCAGGAAAGACTTAATAAGCTTGTGTTAAAATAAAAAGTTGCCAAGATGTTAATGTTCGTGGATCTGGGTTTTACTGAGATGACATGGTATTGCTTAACAATTCTTCTAACAAGGAAGGACAAACTCCAAAGTTAAGTAGAGTTTGAGTACCATATGTTGTACTGAAAAAAAATCAATGATAAGGGTTATACAATTCAGAAAAACAGGTGGTTCAAACACAATGGATAAGACTTTGGCAGTACGTTGATTAGAAGAAGCTTGAAGATGGTATTCTTCTCTGGAGATGGGAAAGTGATAACCTGGCAAACGGTTATACCGAGAAAGTTACGGGAAGTTGTGCTACGTCAATCTTATGATACTTTTATAGGAGGACATCTCGGAGTTAAGAAGACATTGAGTCACCTACGACAAAGATTTTACTGCATAGGTATGAGGCAAGATGTGGAAGAATGGTGCAGAACATGCGGTACATGCTGTGCTAAAAGGGGATCCAAGCATAAGGGACGAGCTCCAATGAAGTTATATCAAGTTGGTGCACAATGGAAAGAGTAGCCATTGACATTG